CTCTCTTTTCTGAGACAAGGTCTCACCATGTAGCCCAGGGCAGCCTCAAACTCATGACAATCCCCCTGCCTCAGCCTCCCGAGTGCTGGGATTACAGGCATGAACCACTATACCCAGATGAAAGTACTTCAAATTTTTTTTTTTTTGTATTTAGTACAGGGTCTACAGGGTCTCATTACACAGATCCGACTCGTAGTGATTCTTCTATTTTTAGCTCCTAAGTACTGGGATTACTGGCACGTGCCACCATGCCCAGTGTCTGAAAGTACTTTTGAAATAGAGCTTTTTTTTCTTTTCGGAATTCTTGACATAGAGTGATAGGACTGGAAAGGAATTCTGAGGTTTCTTGGTCTACTTCCCTTCACAGAGAGCAGTTTGACAAGATTTCTGCATTTCTTCTCTTCATTCCCCACCGATATCACTAGAAAGTGCCTTGCTCCATTTTCCTCTTCCAGAAAAGTTTGTTTTCTTCCTCCTTCTATTCCCCACAAATCTCAATTGGCATGGCACATTTCCCAGAGGAATTCTGTTTATCTGTAAAATTCTTATTCATCATTGGGCAACTAAGGAAGTAGGGAATTACTGTGAATAGCCACTGTGTGGAGGAATAGCGTGCTTTAAGGGTGTCTATACCCTGAAATGACTTCCATAAAACATTACAGAGTGACATCCAGAATGCCAAGGCTTGAGTACGGTGGTGCACACCTGCAATTCCAGCACTTCGGAGGCTAAGGCAGAATGATCACTGTGAGTTTGAAGCCAAACTAGGCTACATACTGCATTCAAAGCCAGTGTGGACTGCACAGTGAGGCTCTGCCTCAAAAAAATATTTTTTTAATTTAAAAAATTTTTCAGAGTACCAAGGCTTTAGCCAAATAAATTCTTTTTTAAAAAAGATTTATTGGGGGCCGGAGAGATGGCTCAGTAGGATAAGCGCTTGACTGGCAAACGCAAGGATCTGAGTTCAATCCCTTGTTCCGCAAAAAAAATAATAAATAAATAAATAAAATAAAATAAAATAAAAAAGATTTATTTACTTGGTACAGGGTATTGTTATGTAGCTCAAACTCATAGTGATCCTCCTATCCCAGCCTCCCCAGCATTGGGATTACAGGTATGCACCACCACAACTGGTGTCAGTGACTGGCACGGTGCAGAACTGGCACGGCAAGCGGTACCAGGGATCGAACCTAGGTCCTTGCCCTCCCCCAGGCAGGTGCTTAGACCACCAAGCTATCTTCCTAGCCCTAGCCAAATAGATTCAAGGAATCCCTGGAATGAGTGGCATGGTGGAGCTGTAGAGTACATTAACTATTCTTCACTAGCATCTCTAATTGATGAATCCGTAAAATCAGTTGTTTGGTACCAAAATGTAGAACTGATTCTTTTCCTTTCAGTTCTCAAGTCTAAAAGAAGAAAGAGAGCACATGTACAGACAATATACCAAACTGCACATTTAAGACATACTATTTTAAAGAAAGTAGTGGCTGTTTTATAAGGTATTTTCAATGCATATTAAAATCCTACCACTTCAAGTCTGGCTTGAGGAAGCAAAACACAGTAGCAATAATTTTGGGGGATCTAGAACAACTCAAGGATTAAATGTGAAGGGTAAAACATTGGTGGGAAACTCCAGTATGAGCAAAAGTCCTTATAAGAAGGGATAATTAGACAAACACACTGCCATAATGGTTTTCTGTGCTTTTTTGAGTCTAGGAGATAAAGATTTGATCATAGAATTCCTAGAACAAAAGAGAGATCATTAAGAGACATGTAAACACTCAGAATTTCCACAATTCGGAGAAAGATGCCTTTAATAATGTGCTGTGTTGGTAACATCAGGAGAATTCTCTTTTTAACCACATCCCAGGACCCAGTAATATAGAGAATAAAAACACTCAAATTGACTAATACATCCCCTGGACCTCATCACAACTTTAAGTGGTGGCTTTGGAAATTTTCAGAATGAAAAATCTGCCTTATGAATCAGCTAGAAATTGTATCTCTTGACTGTTCACTTGATTTTTTAAAAAAGAGATCTCCCATCCCTAAGGCCTGAAAAAGTCTTAGTTTGTTTAAGGTTAGATTCCTCTTAGAAGAGAAAGTCTGAGATGAGATTATTTCTTCCCCTGGAGTGAGTGATTCCTGCACCATCTATTGGTGCCATAAACTCAATCCATTTTATTCCCTTTTTTGCCTCTGAGCTATTTGAAGAGCCTCACACCTATTTCCAAGCACCAGATCTCATCTCCCTCTACTTTAAGCCAGAGTAACCTCTGACCCTGTTGGCAGTGCACCAAAAGGGCATAAACCAAGAAGCTCTGGCCCTGTCAGCGCTTGTGTGGTTCTGGGTTTTGGGTTCTTTATCTACAACCTCATCATATCCACACTGCCAAGTAATTTTATTTATTTTTATTTTTTTGATACAGGGTCTTGGTAGCAACTCAGACTCATGGTGATCTTCCTGTCTCAGCCTTCCTAGTGCTAGGATTACAGGGGTGTACCACCACATCCATTTTCAATGCCAGCACAGTTTGCTCGGTGTTCTGGAGCCAGCACAACATGCCACACCAGGACTCGAACTTGGGTTCTTGCTCTTGCCAGGCAGGTGTATGAACCATCTCTCCAGCCCACGAAGTTGTTTTAGAGTAGGATAAGAACTATATGTCTGCCACATGGAAGGTCTTAGGAATCATAGTTTTTAAAGTTTTATAACAGGTTTTTATTGCTTATCCAAATGAATTTTAAGAGTTTCAACTTGATATCAAAGGCTTTGGGTCATTTATTTGACTTCACCCTACATTTTTAGTCTTGTTTTGTTTCTTGGGCTTTTCATTTTTTTTAATGTATTTGGTACAGGGTCTCACTACACAGCTTGGACTCATAGTGATCTTCATGTTTTCAGCCTGCCCAGCGCTGGGATTATAGGCGTGCACCACCATGTCAGGTCTTGGTGGCCGGCTCAGCCGGCCTGGGGGTGGGGTGGGTGAGCCATGTGGTGCCGGGGATTGAACCCCCATCCCTGTGTTTGCCTAAGAGGTGCTTAGTCTGATGAGATATTTCTCCAGGCTCTTGAGATTTTTGAGACAGGGTTCTGCTATGTAGTTCAGCTGGCCTTGACCTCATTGTGTAGTCCATGGTGATCTGCCTGCCCCCGCTTCCGAAGTGCTGGGATTACAGGTGTGTGCTACTACAGCCAGCTTTACGTTTTAATTCTCAATTCATGATATCCTCACATCCCTATTTGGTGCAGAGAACACAGCAGGCCACTTGTTTTCCTCTAATTGTTGCCTGAGTCTTTGTATATCATTTCTATCTGGGATCTACACTTACAGAAATATCCCAGTCCCTTGAGGCCCTATTCACCTGTCACCATCCCAAAGCCTTCTTTGTCAACACCACAGTCCTGTAGAAGGCATCGTAGGCCAGTTTGCATTACTGTTAGTCTACCTATGCTTCCCTTCTCCTGGCAAGGTAGAAAGCTTTTAAAGGTCAGCACCCTGTTATGTTCATATTTTTATTTCCTACAGTGTTGAAAAGGAACTTATGATGTATTCAATAGAGTTTTGCAGGACTGAGTAAAAGAAAGTATGCCTGTGATATTTCACTTGCTCCTTTGTCTCCAAAACCATTGTAATCCTCAGTTAGATCATTTAGGGTTAGTAAGAACCCAAGTTGGCTGCAAATCTGTTCCCAGCAATAGGACAGGATTGATTGCAAAGCTTTTGCTGTTGTAGCTTGGACAAATCTGGCAAAGACCCTGCTGAGGAGGAATTACATTACAGCCCTTGCTAAAACCATTGCCCTCTTACTCCAAAGGAAGCAAGCTCCTGTAAGCAGGTCAGCAAAGCACCCAACTCAAGTAGCACTTCCCCAACAATCAAACAAATGTTTGCATGCGATTTTTTTTTCCTTTAAACAAACAAACAAACAAAAACCCAAAAAACAAAAACCAAAAAACAGTGACAAGGTTTATTTGAGAAAGTAAAGATAAAGAGTAAGGGAAGGAACTGGCTCTGCAGAGTAAGCTTGGGGTGAGTTAAAGGGGAAAAAGCAAGATGAAAGAACACGCTGGAGAAATCAGGGTGCAGATTGTGAGGAAAGCCAGCCACAATACCCATTTTTCCCTTCCTAACATTTTTTCCTACAGCCAATCAGGAGTCTATTTCTAGACATTAAGGATATGATATTATAGACTTTAAAAAATGTATACTGTTAAAGCTTATCTATTTTTCTGGGTTGTCAAGGGAAGATATTAGAAAATTCATACAATTAAGAAGGATGGTTTGAGGTATTAAATACTTGAGTTCTATTTGTTAAAAAAAAATCTGAGAAAACCCAAGATGATTAAATTAGCACATATAGGCACCTTTTTATACATATTCACATCATATATAAACAGAAATGTAGAAAAAATAATTTCTGAAAGTATGTTGATTTTTTTTAAGTTTCTATTAAGTTGCACTTCTAAGAAATTTTCTAGGTATTATTTGTAGAGTCTGTAAATCCATCCTTAAAGCTAACTTTTCTCGGAAATGTTAAATATCCTATATCTGAGTTATTGATGTCTCAGGCCAATTACCCTGGACTTAGACCCATAAAAGCCTTTGGATTTTTTGTTTTGTTTTTGGTGAAACTGGGGATTGAACTTAGGCCCTTGTGCTTGCCAGGGAGGCACTTATTCCACTGAGCCATCTCCCCAGCCAGAGCCTTTGGTATTTATTACACTACCATTTGAGAAGGTGAGAGAGGGGCTGTAGAGAAAACTAAATTCTGTTCCTCTCTGGATTAACTACCAAAGTTGTATATAATATGAGAGCCTCATTCAGTGCTTTATAAATTGGGGACCACTGAGGCATAAAATGAGGCCCCAGTAGGTCATAGACAAGATTCAGTTTCTTTCTCAGGATTTTCTCCTTTGAGCCCTTTCTGCTACTGAGCCTGGGAAGGAACATTCATGAGCCTTCCCAAGATTCAGAGGGCAGTTCATGGCCCCTTACCTGTCAAGTGGCCTGGTACCATGATAAATGTGAGTAATCCCCATGTCAGCAAGCGTGGCTCCATCTTCCTGGCACTTGGGATCAGCTTAGGACAGTACACGGGCGGTGTTTTCTGCTGTATGCTGGCTGGCTCTTAGTCTCTTTCTTGCATGGCTCTGGAAGGACGCCAAAGGAAAGGATCAGTCCTCATGGGTTGTCATCTTGGTCAGTTCATCCAGTGTCTGTGACAGTCAGGAGCTGCTCTCTTTAAGTATTACACTGGGTGCTCAGCCAGGAAATTGTGCTACCACTCTGTTCTCTGATCTCAAATATAGGAAGGTTTTTTTTGATGACAATATAGTTTGCGGTAATTTTTCAAACCAGGGTTTTTTTTCAAGTTCATCTGCTGGAAGGTGTGGGCTGGGGTTGGTGAGAAGGATTCAGCTTCATTTTGAATATTTATCAAGCTTCCCCCAAGAAAGGAAAGGGAGATTCCCTTGCTCTTGAAGGAGAGGTGAGCAAGCACTTCTTAGCAGTGGTCTCATTTGTTGTTTTGTAAGCTGAGTCCCCCCCCCACCCCCCAGCTTTTCAGCTTCCTGAAGAGCCAGCAGAGTCACAGGGGACAGAACAATAAAGTCACAAGAGTGTGGAAGACAGCCTCGGCCCTAGACAGGCATTAGGGACCTGATTCTGGATCTGTTTCACAAGTCTAGCAGGCTTTGCAGCTGGGATGTTCAGACTATTAAGAAGAAAGCAGCTGAGCGGTACGCAGAATTCATTAGTAATTTTCTAAGATTTATAATTGGTACTAGCCAAAATCATTTCATCATGGTGTCTTAGGTTCCAAAAGTCATTTTGACATGATAAAAAAAAAAAAAAAAAAACCTCTCAATCTGTCAGATGTGCCAAGTTTGGGGTGTCGCAACATGAAGGAATTAAGTGGAGAATCAAAGGAGGAAGTTAGGAGAGTTTTATTGGAAATAAGAATAGCTCCTAAATTTCCAGGAGGAGTTCTGAGTAGTTGGCTACCAAGGCTCTTTGTCAGGATAATTTATGCAGCAAAATCACATGGGTCAAACTACAATCAACCTACAGGATGACAAGTTATAGTCACTTAGCTAATGATCCAATAAGGAAATGAGTCAGGTAGTAAGCATATGGGAAAATAATGAGGGCATTCTTAGAAAAAAAAGCGAGTGTGGATCCGGATGTTCTGGTTACTTACTTATAAGTCCAATGTTCATCTGAGCCCGCTGGACCACTTGGTGCTGATTACAGTATCATCACATGTTGCTGTAAGAAGGAAGGTTCTCACCTGGAGGCCCTCTTTGGATTGATCTCTAACCACGCTTTTGGTGTGTTTTCATTTTGTACACTGATTTCCTCGAGGGTCCAATCCCTTTCTGACTACCTATTGATTTCTATCTAATGTAACTGTCTATAATGATTTTATGAGGTGCTTTTTTTTTTTTTTTTTTGGTGGAACCAGGGATTGAACTCAGACCCTTGCTCTTGCCAGGGAAGCGCTTATTCTACTGAGCCATCTCCCTGGCCCCTAAGAGATATTTTGATACAGGGCCGCCAAACTTTTCTTTCACTTGAATGATCCTACTAGAGATGGAAATTGGTTCTGAACTTCAGATTTTTTAGGGAGTAAAATTCAATCTTGCTTATTTATTTTCCAGAGCTCTTTCCTGGTTTTCATGAAATGATTGACTATGTTTTTTGACCTGGAAATCCATTCCCATTATCAATCATGTACTTGCAGTAATGATACAGTTTTTAAGATGTTAGGAAGCAAGAAGACACTGACAAAGAAAGACCCCCTGGGAAGCCATGCAACTCATGATTTAAGGATGCTCTGCCCTTCCCCTTAGCACTGTCCCAGATAGACAACTGACTACTACTGAGAAGAGACTTGGCACTGTGAAAATCAACCCAGTGGGCTCAGGCCAAGTACTGGAACTTAGGGGTGAGGGGGAAGGTGACCTGTTCCCTTTTGGAGGATGGAGTACTTAAAAATGTGATAATATTCTCTGTTAAGATTCCAGATAACTTCATTGCTGGGAATACTTGCAACTGTTTTTTGACAGCAATTCTTATTATCCCTAAAGTCTATTCCTAAAGAACTTTCTAGCTATTGTTACCAGCATATAGTTTAAAAAATTTACACAGAAACTGGGAGAATAACATAGACAACTTTTCTTCCTAAACTATTTGAAAGTGGTGAGTATTCTATCACTCTTAAACACTTGAACTTCTGGGCTGGTGAGATGGCTCAGTGGTCTAAAAGCACCTACTTAGAAAAAGCTTAGCAAAGCACAAGGACCGCGGTTCAATCCCCAGCACCACATGCCAGCCAGCCCCGCCCCCTGGTGGGCTGAGCTGGCCACACACACACACACACACAAATAAATAATAAATAAAAATAAATAAATTTAAAAAAAAACAAAAAACACTTGAACTTCTTACAAGTGAGCATATTCTCTAACATCAAGACAATATAACTATCAACATTAAAATCGGAAAATATTATTGTTGCCTTACTATCATTAAATCCACCAACTCAAGCATTTCTAGTTTGCTTTGTTCTTGTTATTTGTTTGATTTTGCCTTGGGGGGGCATAGTTTCACTATGTAGTTCAGGCTGGCTTTGAACTCACTACGTAGCCTATGCTGACTTCCAATTTGTGGTGATCCTCCTGCCTTAGCTTCCTGAATGCTGGAATTATAGGAATGTGCCATAACACAGGCATATTTTATTTCTCCCTTTTTCTTCTTTCTCTTTCTCTTTTTCTTCTTTTTGTCCTCCTCTTCCTTTTCTTTTTCCTCCTCTTCTTCTTGCCCTCTTCCTTCTCCTTTTTCCTCCTCTTCCTTCTTATCCTTCCTTTCTTCCTCTTTCTTCTCTTCTCTCTGATCTCCTTCTCCTTTAAGGTACTGAGGGTGTACATTCATTGCTCTAAAGGGCAAGAGTGTAATAGTGAACAGATTCACAGAGACCCTGAGGATAAGGGAAGGAATATTTGCTATTTGAAATTCTCATATTTGTTTCTCCTTTATGCAAATAAAACAAAAAGATAGTTGTCCTAGCATAACCTCACTTGGACTGGCTCTAGATTTAAACTGCTCTATCAATTGTCATTTGGTTTCCTACAGGAGGTATATGGAGAATTGAAAATAATACTTTTCTGATGGCTCATGCAGACAGCGACAGATTCAAATGAGGTACTGAAAGTAGCATTTTCTGATTGGTTTTATGTACAGTGGTCAGGAGCCAGGCCTAGGGTCTCTTCCCTCATTTTCCCTTTGAGAGATGTAATCCTCATAATGTTTTATGGGATGCAGATGAATCTTCTTATAACTGTTTCCTGCTGACAGAGGCTGTAGGTCATTCCTACTGGATATGCCTTGGAATGTTGTGGCTTTCTGGCCAGGCTGGTAAGAATGGGAAAATGGATACTGCCTATAACACAGAGACTGTTGAGCTGCCTGTTCAAAGGGAAAAGCTAGGTGAATCCACAAGCCATCAGGAAAGTCATGGCTTGTGGTCTAGACCATCATGTGAAATCTTGAAAGGACAAATTTGCTATTAGGTGGAGGGGGCAAGAGACACATATGACAAGGAATAGGATGACATGAAGTGGTCCCAAGAGAGGAATTCAGAGATTTTAGGAAAGTAAGTTCAAAGAGGATCAAGGCATCTTGAGGAATAATTCAGAATATTTCCTGGTCTATCTTAAAAATGAGTTGGATAGATCAGCAGTTAGAGATTATTTTTCCATGATACCATTTGGGAGAAGTTTACTAAGGAGTTTTATTCTTGCCTTCCCTTGGGGAGGAAAGCATGGCAAAGAGGGATATTGGAAAGACTACTGGAAGTCTGAGAGTTGTATCACGGCAGGATCACCACATTATGGATTCTACTAAAACCAGAAGTCCCCAAATAGGTGCCTATATGAGCTAGGGTGCATCAGGGATATTAATAACTCTATTCATTTGCCCCCCAGACATAGTATGGGACTCTTGCTTTTTGAAGAGGAGCCTCAGATTTTTCCAGAGGTTCACAGAAGTAGCTTTCTTTTTTTGGTTGATTTTTTACTCAGACAGTTCAGGTGGGGCTGGCTTTATTCTAGAATGGTGAATCCAGCTATCTGCCTTGTCCCCTTTACTGAAGTGGGTGTGGCAAGGATCACTGAAAAGGGACCTTGCCATTTGGATTTTAATTCGTCTGCAGGAGCCACTTCTTTTCAAGCTTTAATAAACACTTGGTCTCTACAGAAGATATCAGGTGGTTCCTCTGGCTCAAAAACTGGCAGGGCTTTGGTCCCACCTAGCTGGATAGACTTTTATACTTGGCCTAGATTAATAAGATATTGTAAAAGCTTGTGGTCTCTGGGTACACTGCCATATCAGAAGATACAAAACACCTCCCATAAAACATTTTAAGTGGACCCATATTTAATCCAATGTTTCGAATCTTCATAAGTGAGGGCTATTGGCAATAATTGGAGCCATGACTCAGAAGTCTCTGGGCAATGTGCAGCCACAGTTTATTCAGGGTCTGGTTGACTTGACATTTATGAAAACTGAGGTCTCCATGCAGAATGGAGATGGTACTTTATTCCTAAAGCCTTTGACAGAATTGGAGAACCCACCCTCTATTTTAATAGGCAGTCCCTTCTAGTAAGGGAATAGAACACTGTGGGACAATTAACAACTCATGTTTGAACACTTGATCCTGGAATTGACATGTCAAAGCAAGAGTAAAGAAGCTCTGACTACTGCTTCACTCTGCCATAATCATGGAGATAGATCTAGAAGAGTTTTCCAGAGAAGGAAGTTAAAACATAGTAAGCCACTTATGTGCCTATAAGGACTTGAGTCTGCCTACTCATACATCCTGTGTCTGTTTCTCCTGAATCTAACCTCAAATATTTATGGAAAACTTTTTCTAATCTGCTATGAATGATCGCTGGATTTTCCTCATAATTAACAGGTTTCCTTATTGCTATGGCTTGTGTTTAGATGCTCCCCAAAGCCCATGTAGGCTTAGGTGGGTCTTTTTCAGAGGAGGCTGGACCTAGAGTGTGTGATCCTGGGATTATAGATGTGTGATTACTCAATCATCCACTGATTTGTCTTGCCCCACCTTAATCCCAGTGGGCTAGAGTATAAAATGGACAGAAAAAAGCTGCTAAGGTCCCCTGCTTGCTTTGCTGCCTGCT